CTAATGCAGTCAAGAAACATAAAGTTATTGTTTTTATTTATTTATTTATTTAATTTTTATAAATCCATGTAATCTTAGCTATGATTTAGTATATTATATGGAGCAAATACCAACCAGTAACACAATTTTTGAGCAAGTATCTTGATAGTAGAGTTATTAAACATATATAATGCACCTACAAAAATCACAAACTTTTTTTCTTGAAAGTAGTATATTTTGAAAGTTTGGGTTTGCTTATTTAGTCTGTTGTGTTTTAATATAAGCATTACTCTTCTTTTTATGTCATATTGTAGTTTATTTTTATAGCAAACGATGCATTCTAGTAAAAGACAAAGATGGTTTGGCACTCCAAGTTAGCTTTCTTTCATTCGGGCTTTCTTTCTTCTGTTTTTGCTTCGGTCTTTCTTTCTTCTATATTGCGCGAGACAATTATGTGTGGCGCAAAGGATGAAGGCGTCACTTATTTCAATATTGTGGGGCAACTCAGCTCTCGCTCTTGCAAATTGCCAAACCTCTAAAAGAACTTTAAATTGTGTAAAAATTTCTAGGGGTGTGCATTCAATTTATCGATTCGATTTTGTTATCGATTTGTACATATGCTTATCGTTATCGTTTCAATAAGGTTTCGATTTTTTCGATTTCGATTTATCGATTTTGGAGGCTTATCGATTCGGTTATCGATTACACCAATAAGAAAATTTGCGGGATTCCACGGAAAGTATATCGCTATAAACGCGCCTAACTAATATGGACAAAAAGAAGCTAAAATAATACGAACACCATTTATAATATAAAAATTGTGTCAACAAGCACATGCAACAAAACTAAAGTAAGGGATCAAATGTATGCCACCAACACTCCAACGGTATAAAAAAATAAAAAAAAATAAAACACATCATCATGGCTAATTCTGTTTTCCATTAATTTGAACTTCATTCCCTTGATCTTTAAATATGATCATTTCTTAAATGTGGTAGAGGAATAATAGGGTAAGGGACTTAGGGTAAAGGAAAGGGTATAGATTAGGGAAAATAATATTGTATAGACGCTTTCAAAATAGTTGCGGAATATATATACATTATGTATGTTATATTAATCTACACAAATAGGTAATTACTCATTTAACAAGTGTCTACAGTTCGATTTTGACCCTTATCGATAATTACTTATCGATTATCGATTTGTACATATGCTTATCGTTATCGTTTCAATAAGGTTTCGATTTTTTCGATTTCGATAACAAATAATCGATTCGATTTATCGATAAACCGATTCGAATGCACACCCCTAAAGTGGTATTTACTTTTTATCTAGCATTTTCAATGCTTAGCAATAGTAGCCACCGTCTATACGCATACGACGCACGCCAAACTTAGGACTAGTTTCTCCGTGGAGCCTATATAATGTTAACTACATGCAGGCATTGACACATGCAACACTTTTATCGAAGTTTACTTCACTATATATAACTTGCTTGAGAGATTATTTTTAATATAAAAGTCGCTTAATTAATTAGTAGAACCGAATTCAGATAATTATATATATCTTATGGAGAAAATTTTGGCTCAAAATAAGAAGATTCATGAGCTGCTGCTGCTTCCTTCGTTTAATGATGAGCATGGAGGAGTTATTGTAGAACTAAAGGATCCTATGGACACCAATGTCTTCCGTTTCATGCTTAAGGCTTCCATGAAACAGTTACAAGTTCAAAAGTTAAGAAAAATAGGTCCTGAAGTCTTGAACTTAGACTAACAAGCTCAAAAGTTAAGGACAATATGTCCTGAACTTAGGCTAAGAAGCCCAAAAGTTAAGGACAATAGAGCCTGAACTTAGACTAACAAGCTCAAAACTTAAGGACAATAGGTCCTGAACTTAGACTAACAAGCTCAAAAGTTAAGGACACTTGTCCTGAACTTACAGTTACAAGTTCAAAAGTTAAGGACACTTGGTCCTGAACTTAGACTAACAAGCTCAAAAGTTAAGGACAATAGGTCCTGAACTTAGACTAACAAGCTCAAAAGTTAAGGATACTTGGTCCTGAACTTACAGGTACAAGTTCAAAAGTTAAGGACACTTGGTCCTGAACTTAGACTAACAAGCTCAAAAGTTAAGGACAATAGGTCCTGAACTTAGAGTTGCAAGTTCAAAAGTTAAGGACATGTAGTCCTGAAGTCCTCAACTTAGAGTTGCAAGTTCAAAAGTTAAGGACACTTGGTCGTGAACTTTTATGAGCAGAAGGGTGTTTTTGTCCGGGCAGGTAAAGTTTATTAAAGCACTGGCTAAAGACTAAAGATATTTTAAACAGTGGCTTAAAAGTAAATACATGTGTTATTAGTGGCTAACCGTGCACTTCTCCCGGATTGGGAATATGTGAATTGAAGAAAGGGTAAAACTGTCTTTTCAAAATAATTTTCATAGAGTAGTGGCTATTTTTGCTCAGCATTAGAATTAGTGGATAAAAAATAAAGACCACCTTACTTAGTGGTTACCACACCACCTTAAACATGTGTTAAATGGCATGGGGTAGCCACTATTTAAGGTGGTATTTATTTTTTATCCAGCAATTCTAATGTGAGCAAAAATAAATAGCCACTACTCTATTAAAATTATATGAAAAGATATTTTTACCCTTTCTTCCCTTGCTTTTCTTCCCAAACCCTCGCTTCTCTCTCTGCATCAAATACATTGGAAATACTGGGTACCGTTGTGGAACTCCTGCTTCATATAGAGCATAAATGAGTTAAGAATCCAAATAGCGGCTGGTAGGAGAGATGAATGTAATGTAATAGAAAAAATCTTCCTAGAAAGTTTTTTTTTTTTGATAAGTATTGTCCTAGAAAAATTTAATAAGCACTATGATAAGATTTTTCTTGATAAGAACGCCAATTGCAAATCTTGTCTATAACTCCCATATAAAGTTGCTAATCTTGATAATTATTTTCAGTGAGCTAGGTCGAAACCAGGACTCTATAGCATTTTCCAAAAGGGTTCACACCAAACCTAGAATCTAGATGCAACCCAGAGCTATTGAAAATATTGCTTTTGTGCTACATGGAGATTGACTTTAAGATAGTATTTTCTCCCTGTTCTATTCCTGGTCAAACTTTAACTAACCATACTGTACTCTCATGTCGTTTATTTAGGCTTTTACAGAACGAGGAGAAACATGTAAAAAGGAAAGAGCTTAATATTGAAAAAAAAAAAGACGATATTGGAAAGGTTAAGGAGCTCAATCATCATTACTTTTAGGCTACAGTTATGAAACAACACCCTACTAGCTTGAAAATGAGGGAGTTTTAGTTTCCTGAACTTAGACTAACAAGCTCAAAAGTTAAGGACAATAGATCCTGAACTTACAGTTACAAGTTCAAAAGATAAGGACAATAGGTTCTGAAGTCCTGAACTTAGACTAACAAGCTCAAAAGTTAAGGACAATAGGTCCTGAACTTAGGCTAAGAAGCCCAAAAGTTAAGGACAATAGCTCCTGAACTTAGGCTAAGAAGCCCAAAAGTTATGGACAATAGGTCCTGAACTTAGACTTACAAGCTCAAAAGTTAAGGACACTTGGTCCTGAACTTACAGTTACAAGTTCAAAAGTTAAAGGACATGTAGTCCTGAAATCCTGAAGTTAAGTTCAAAAGTTAAGGACATGTAGTCCTGAAATCCTGAAGTTAAGTTCAAAAGTTAAGGGCATGTAGTCCTGAAGTCCTGAACTTAGAGTTCCAAGTTCAAAAGTTAAGGACATGTAATCCTGAAGTCCTTAACTTAGAGTTCCAAGTTCAAAAGTTAAGGACATGTAGTCTTGAAGTCCTGAACTTGATTTCATGAAATGCTGACTTCGCTTCCATGCCAAATTGAAACTCATCTTTCTTCCTCAACATGTAGTCTTGAAGTTAAGTTCAAAAGTTAAGGACATGAGCAGAAGGGTATTTTCGTCCGGGCAGTTAAAGTTTATTAAAGCAGTGGCTAAAGACAAAAGACATTTTAAACAGTGGCTTAAAAGTAAATACATATGTTATTAGAAGTGCACGGTTAGCTACTAATAACACATGTATTTACTTTTAAGCCATTGTTTAAAATATTTTTAGTCTTTAGCCACTGCTTTAATAAACTTTAACTGCCGGAACGAAAATACCCTTCTGCTCATGTCCTTAACTTTTGAACTTAACTTCAGGACTTCAGGACTACATGTCCTTAACTTTTGAACTTGTAACTCAGGACTTCAGGACTACATGTCCTTAATTTTTGAACTTAACTTCAGGACTTCAGGACTACATGTCCTTAACTTTTGAACTTGTAACTGTAAGTTCAGGACCAAGTGTCCTTAACTTTTGAGCTTGTTAGTGTAAGTTCAGAACCTATTGTCCTTAACTTTTGGGCTTCTTAGCCTAAGTTCAGGACCTATTGTCCTTAACTTTTGAACTTGTAACTGTAAGTTCAGGACCTATTGTCCTTAACTTTTGAGCTTGTTAGTCTAAGTTCTGGACCAAGTGTCCTTAGCTTTTGAAATCTTAGTTTCCATGCCAATAATTCCAAGATCTTTGGTTAACACGTAGAGACTTAAATATCTGTAATTAGAGTCAAAAAAGTGAAAACTCAAATTGGTAAATTCTCGTTCAAATGGTCTAACACATTCTGTTGTGACCTTGCACATTTGCCTTTTTCTTTAAATGTCAATAAAAATGACATTCTGATAGAAAGCAAAGCATAATGAAAAAAAAAAAGGGTAAAAATGTCTCGTGGAAAGAAAACGAAATTGAAAATAGGATATCTCCTGGAAAGAAAACGAAAAACGAATGGGTATCGAACTTGAGAGAGAAGCGATGGTTTGGGAAGAAAAGCAATGGAAGAAAGGGTAAAAATGTTTTTTCATATTAATTTTAATAGAGTAGTGGCTATTTTTTCTCAAACATTAGAATTGCTGAATAAAAAATAAATACCACCTTAAATAGTGGCTACCCCACGCCATTTCATCATTACATTGGTAGGTAGAAAAAAGATTAAAACTAAACGATCAAACACGATTCATCATTATAGAAAACATTACATACTCTGACATCATCATATTGTATAATGATAATGCATAGAGAAATCGTAGCAAAAACTATTACTGAAAGTAAACAGATAACTTCCTATTATATTCAGAGACATCTTGCCCTTTTAAACCCGAAATACACTGTTACAGCTTCCTGTCTCTCAAATATTCTTTCTTCCTCTAGCGTGAAATATCAAAGAAATCAAGTTACAAACACTAATTCTACCGGAAGTCTTGGTAGAATGACCAGAAGTGGATGCATTACCTTGGGCCAAGCTTTTCTGAATGTACTATTCCTTCGCCAAATATGTGAAGGCATAATTACTGTAGTAGCTCTATTAGAAAACTGCTTCCTGCTTCGCTCTTTTGTCCTACCATATGCTCAAGGTCCAACCTAATTTGAGAATTGAACCGAGCCCTCATTCCAATCTACACAGCCTGGAAACAAAGCAATCATAGAAAAAGTTAAGTGCTTCAGCAATCCCCTACTCAAAAATGTTGTGGAAAAATTATTTTTAAAAAATTGAATCACGATTTCACAATTTCGTATATTCTCTTTGGATGATAGTATAATTGCATAAAAAGAAAAGATAAGGTGCCAAGTTAGAACTATGTAATGCACATGTAAAGTACACATTCTTAAGAATGACCATCTTTTCATGACACCAATTACCAACTGATGTATGCATTAGTTATAGGATACTCTATTCGAGCCCTCTCACAGACCTCTTACGATCACACGAAAAGGCAATTGGAAAAAGTAGGAGTCCAAACTTAGTTCTTGTAAGTGTTGAGGGAAGGAAGATTCCTATTTGGTATAGCTCTTTTTTTTCTGTATGGGCATTCAAGCCATTCACTCCAAGAAAAAGCATGTTATGCTTCGAGAAGGATATCCAATACCAGGACCCAAAATACATTCTGCTGTCAAATAATAGAATGATATCCCTAATTGATTTAGGCAATCCATACCAAGTGCAGAGTTTAATGTGCTCTACTGAACTTTGCAGGTTAACAGAATGTAACAGAGGTTGAGATGAAATATTTATAAATTACCTGCAATAAATTCTCATACACCATTACAGAAATTGTTTGAAACTCCACTTGACGAAGGTTCAGAGATTCCCTGAGATTCAGGATGCATTTTTGCTAATGGATTGACAATAAATCCATGATTACCGCGAAACCGAGATCTCCCACGTTCCAAATTAAATCTTTCTCCATCTCCATGCTCACCAGCTTTTCTGCTTACAGCACCTCCTGATGAGGTTTCACCATGAGCAGAAGATCGTGAGGTAGAACTCCGACCTCCTTTTCTCTTCCAAAGTTTTGAACTAAAGAATTCTGCACCTGGTAGCTTGCAACACATGGCTGCAGAGTCGGTCCTTGACTTCCTTCCGGTGGACATAACAAAGTCAAATGAGATCTCATCTAATGCCAGCTCTAGACCTTGAACTCGAGTCCCTAAAGAACGCATGCCGCTCTCTGAACTCCCAATAAATCTCTAGGTACAAACAAGACAAAGAAAAACTTTTGAGAAATTAAAAGTGATCATGAGGAAGGCATCAATGTTTTGAGTATTCCTATAAGCCGATAGCCTAAAATCCTCAAAACATGAGGAGTCAAAATTGAAGAGGGAAGAGCTTATCCAAGAAAAAAACTCAACGGCTTGCACAAGACAATGTTTTGGTCCAAAGGAAATCACAAATAACCAATTAAACTTAAGGCAGCAAAACTAGGAGGTTAATTTGTCGGTACCTTCAGACGGACTCCGCCGGATTAATCATTGTGTAAGAGTTAGCAACTTCAATTCCACGAAGAATAAATTCTATGATCTTCTTATGTTTCTTCAATATATTCTTGAGAAGTAAGGAAATACTTCCTCTGTTTCACTTTGTTTGGCATTGTTTGACTTGCCTCAAAGTTTAATAAAGAAAGGAAGACTTTTGAAACTTGTAGTCTTAAATATGTCATAACATTTGTGTAGTTATACAACTTTTGAAACTTGTGGTCTTAAACATGCCATAACATTTGTGTAGCTATAAAAGCTTCTTATTAAGGAGATGCAAAAATGTGTTATTCTTTTAAGAATAGACTAATAAAGTAACAGCGCAAACAAAGTGGAAGGAGGGAATACAATTCTGATATTAAGCCCAAGTTAAAGGCAAATTAGTGCATAAAAAACTAGTGGAAAATCAAAATCTAATGCATATATATGAACCAAGCATATTAACTTATCATGACCAATCTACGATTACATCCAAAGTCAGAAGGGGAGTATTCTCGGCCATTAGCAAATTACCTGGAGAAGCTCAAACAAACTGGACTGCTGGTTTTCAATTTGCACAAGTTGTTTCCGGATCTGAGAGAGATCTTCGAATTCACATTCTTTTGGGTTCCTATAGAGATCCCCAGTTTCATTACTTACAATAACAGTAGATTCTGATCTCTCATTAAGATATGGAACCACACGCGATCCAGCTCTCAATATACCAGGCTTTCTTTCACCAGAGATCTTACTGAAAAGGGTTCGTTGGACTTCTAGCTTTGTTTGTTGTTCCATCTCCTCATCTTTGTCTGCCAGTCTCCCCTCTTTGTTTTTAGTTTCATTCTCAGAAGTCCTGGTCCCAGGAGTACCAAGAGGAGCAGAAATTTCAACTTTCGATTCAGATGGCTTCTTGTGATCAAGTTTGCGGAAGATTGCTGGGGTTGATTTCTTTTCAAAAGTGTTCGAAAGACGACCTTTTAAGGCTGTACGAGCAGAAGAACCATCAGCAGAAGCTGGCTTATGAGCCTGCTTTTTTCTAACACTAGGCGCACCAGAGCTCATGGTATAGGAGGTCTTCACGCTAGGTGGATAACGCCCATCACTAGCATTTTCTGTTTCCAGGAGAAAACATGAGAAGCCTATTTAGTTTCACTAGATTAAATAAGAACGTAGATAAGCAATATGAGAAACTTCACAAAAAGGAGGATGATGACTTAGATAAGCAACACAAATGTTAAGTAACAAGGAAATAAGATGCGAAGTAAATAATTTTACCTAGAATAACTAGAAAGTGACAAGTGTTAGATTCAGAAAACCTCTAGCTTTAGAGATCATTTTATTTACCTTAAAAAACAAACTATTTACCCAAACGGAGTGGAAACCATGGAGCATTCATATAGCCACCCATCCTTTAGCATTAAGGCGTAAGTAATGGATTTTTTAAATTGAGATTAAGAAGACCGAAGCAGATAAAATATTTAGATACCTTTAGATGATGAATTTGACTGGGGTAGAGGAGAGTCATCATCAGACAAATCAGGGATTTCTTTCCACACCTCCAACATTTGGTTCATTGTTTCCCTCACAGCCTTCACCTACACAATTAGTCAATAGATCCTACAATCATCAACACTATTATACTCATAAGAATATATGCTCGGCTTCTGATAGGGGCTTCTACAAGTATGTAATATATTGGTATCCAGCAGGGGTATAAAAATTTTACTTTTGAAGAACTTGCATAAATTCCCATATAATTACACCATCTTAGTCTGTTTTGAAGAATTTGCACAAGTTATGGGTACACACGACACACTCCCTTAACAGGAGTGGTCAACATAAATGAACTAAAATGAAGGATCCATAAAACATAATCAAATTTCAATCAAGTAAAAGAGAACTTGAATCGAATTAGCCAAGAACCAAAACAAAAGACAGGAATTTGAGTTTAATTGAAAATAAACCTTATCGTATCTTTTAGCCTCGAATGTCTTGAGGCAAGAAGTTTTGAATTCCGAGAGTGAATCTCTCTCAACTATGGCGAGTCTGAGCAAAGCCTCTACACTAGCTTTCCTAGCAGCCCAATCCTCACTACTCATAAATTCCACCAAATACGGCACCAAATTCCTCATTGTCTGCTGATTAGAAGCTCCTCCTACTCCAATCACACTACCGATCAACGTAAGCACTGCCGCCTTCGCTTTAAAGCTCCCACACTTGAGAAGTTTCTCGAACCTCGGCAACAGCTTCCTCAAGCAGACAACATCCGGCTCCGGCGACGCCTCAATTGCCGCTGATAAACATAATGCTGCGGCGATCTGAGCGTTCATCTCCTGCTCCGTGAACAGCGCTTCGAGGAAGGGTTTGATAATTGAGGAAAACGGAGGTTGTGTGAGGTTTGATGAGATGGAGGTGCATGCGGTGACGCAGGCGGTGCGGACGGCGGAGTCAGGGTCACGGAGGCGGCGGACGACAGCGGAGAGGACTTTGGAGAGGTGAGGTGAGAGAGTGTCACGGTGCTGCTCGGACAGAAGGGAGATGAGACGGAGGCATTGTTTTCGGACAGGAGATTTGTCGGCGGAATCGACAGCGGAGATGGAGGAGAGGAAAGGAGGAATTGTTTCTGATGAGAGTGTCTTAGCGATGGATTCGAGTTCGGCGGCCGCAGCAGAGTGAGTGTCGCGGTCGGAAAGTTTGTGGAGGCACGTGAGGACACGGTGTTTTAAGTCGCGTGTTGGGTTTTGGTTCCGCTTCATGGCTACTGACATTTTCGAAAAAATGAAACCAAAATTTGTTCGGATTTATTGACTATTTTATGTAATCAAAGTTTAGTCACTGTTGTAGGAGGCGGCGCCGGTGGAAGTTCTGGCGGCATTGCCGCCGCTAACGGTGGAGGTAGAAGTATGTTTGGTGTTATGGCGCGCGTGATTCCTGCTACAAAGACTTTTCTCTTCTTTCCTCTTTTTAAAGAGAGAAGAAAACTGTAAGGGAGAAAGAAGAAGAAGAAAAAGAGAACTGTAATGAGGAAGTTATAGAAAAGCAGTTGCGGATTTGTTGGTTCACTTCATCTGTTACCGCGTATTGATTATGATGAATGGTATACGGTGTCGTATAAGAACAGGGAGCGCGCCGTTTCACTGTTTCTACCATTCATCATTAGTATAGTATCCGGAGAATATAAATCATGTTTTGTGATCTTATCTGTTTGAGCGTACTATATCATATCGTTTGAATCAAATTTCAATTTTCTTATTTTTTTATCCAGTGAAATATGCCCAATACGTAAATCAGATGAAACTACAAAAAAAAATTACTTTTCTTTATTACATAATCTACTATGTTTATTATTATTTTATTTACTATTATAATATTTTATTAATTTGTTACTTGACTTAATTTGTTAATTATCTCTTTTAAATGTAATATAATATTGATATAGATATATATTTTTCTTACTCCTAAAATTTTTTCTTGAAACATTTTTCCCATTGTACATCTTCGCTTGAATTCGTCAAAAATATAAATTAATTTTTTCTTTATTAGTTATAAATCTATCAATTTTTTAAATAATTGATATTTTTATATTATATGACTGAATTAGTTATTAGTTAACAGTTAATTAGTTAATACATTACATGTGGCTAATTTTAACGCTACCACTTTGGCTTAAGAATATGGCTTTTTCCTCTCCTTTTAATACTATATATATAAAAGATATATTATAGATATATATATATATATATATATATATATATATATATATTTTTCTTACTCCTAGAACTTTTTCTTGAAATGTTTTTCCATTCTACATCTTCGTTTGAATTCGTCAAAAATATAAATTTATTTTTTCTTTATTAGTTATAAATCTACGAGCTTTTTAAATAATTGATATTTTTGTATTATATGACTGAATTAGTTATTAGTTAATATTTAATTAGTTAATACAATACATGTGACTAATTTTAAGGCTACCACTTGGCTTAAGGAGATGAATTTTTCATATTCATTTAATAATATATAGAAGATATAATATGGATATAGATATATATATTTTTCTTACTCCTAAAACATTTTCTTGAAACGCTTTTCCCATTGTACATCTTCATTTGAATTCGTCAAAAATATAAATTAACTTTTTCTTTATTAGTTATAAATTTACCAATTTTTTAAATAATTGATATTTTTATATTATATGATTGAGTTAGTTATTAGTTAATATTTAATTAGGTAACACGTTACATGTGGCTAAGTTAATGACTGCCACTTAGCTTAAGGATATGAATTTTTTCTCTCCTTTTAATAATATATAGACTTTTATATTATATGACTGAATTAGTTATTAGTTAATAGTTAATTAGGTAACACATCATGTGGCTAATTTTAAGGCTGTCACTTAGCTTAAGGATATGAATTTTTCCTCTCTTTTAATCATATATAGATATAGATTTAATAATATATAGATGTTTTCCTTTGGGGAAATCTGATTTTATAAAAAGAAACAGTACTATTTCCGTTCCAATATTTGTAGTTACGTACAGAACTTTTAAAATTTATGATTTTATATTTATTATAATATTTGTGAGGTAATAAAAATTTTAAATTTAGAATGAAATAAAATATTAAAAGTTTATTATTTTTAAATATAATAATATGTCATTCTTTCAACGATTAATAAGAAAATAGCACATAAATCGAAAGCGAGGGAGTGTGAGAAAAATTATTCCAATTTGTGTTGCACTATTATCTTATTAAGCTTTTTTGTAAAGAACCATATTTTTTTATATTTAAGGATAATTTAATTTTAACCTTCTTATCTATCGTTAATAGTATGCTTTTATTTATATTCACACATGAGTAACAATTAAAACGTGGTTTAAAGATATGTGATTTAATTCAATACGACAGCAAACAACTAAGTTAGAGGTAAAATGAACAATCAAACCAATTATGACGTGATGATCAAGCCTGATCTCAAGTTGTACACTGAAATTCGACCTCGATTGGACCCTCGACCTAAGCTCGATTGCGGTTAAAGAAACAAAATAACTGAAGAACGCTTTGAATAATAGTTGAAAGACAAAAATGAACTTTTATTGCTTTGATTTGCGTGTCAACAGTGTGTCCACGTAAAAGAAACTTTTTCTTTTATATAGTAGGGGAATTTCAATCCTAGTACAAGTCTAAATAAGGTATAAATCTTCTTTTTCCGGTAAATGCTAATCGGCTCCCTACTTGTTATGCATAATTGTTCCCCCTTTTCCCGTTGTCTAGAAACTTTACTTGGTCTGAGTCCGTTATTTTGCCGTACCCGATCCTAGATACACCGTTCACTCCTCCCGGGTTCCGATATGAGGGGTCCTTTGGCCTTGCTTGTAGTCGTGCCGAACCATGCTTCCTCTTATTTCCTTATTGGGGAATCCGGTAAGACTTTGCCCCCGATTTTACCTGTACACAGATAGTCCCCTCGTTTTTCGGAGAGTAGATTTATCGAAGCGACGGAAAGCGATGAATTGACCCCAGTTCCTTCTTCCGTATGACTTCGAACACGTGTCAGCCACCGGTTAACCGTCCTTGAATATGAAACGTCACGCATGTATTACCCCTTCTCTATAAAAGCTTCGATCCTTTTTTCACTTTTTTACTTTCCGATTCCAGAACTCCCTAATTTACCCCCGAACTTTTCCCTTATTCTTAACCTCTTCAGATCTTCATACATTGTTCCATATATCTTCATTTTTTCATCTTCCCATCTTCAAATCTTCATATTCCATCTTTAAATCTTCAAATCTGACCTTCAATCCTTCATCCTCATCTTCAAATCTTCATCCTGACCTTCAAATCTTCATCCTCACCTTCAAATCTTCATCCTCACCTTCAAATCTTCATATGTTCCATAATTTGATGGCGAAGCCTTCGAAATATGCGCCTCAACAGACCTTCCCTTCAACTTCTGACCCGGCCACGAATGCTGAGGTCGTACTTAAAGTGGCCCCGGAACCTCCCCTGAAGAACTTTATCCCCGGAGGCTGCTCCATTAAAAATTATTTCAAGGTCGAAAAAGCCTCCAGTCAATAGGACCGAAGCGAGGGGGTATGGAGGTACATATTCTCCATTACCGAGGATACACTCCCTATAGTTTGGGAGGACAAAAATTGGGAGGGCAAAGAAGTGGTCGTCCCTGGTCTCGATGAGGACATTACCACTCATGTGGAGGGGTATCTAAGTGTCTATATTTATCCCTTCATACTTGCCCCGGTGGATCCCATAATCCCTAACTTTTGCAAAAGGTACGAGGTTTGCCTGGGGCAGATTCACCAGTCCTTTTGGAGGATCGTAATCCACCTCTGCCATTTTGTCAACAACACTGAAGCATCTCAATTTACCATCGACCACCTGCTTCGTCTCTACAGTCCTTGAGTTTTTCGAGGGGGGTTAATCAAGCTCGTTCATCGGGAAAGTAAAGATCTATTTTCGAGCATCGATGAAGATAGGGATTGAGGCTGGAACTGGAGACTCGTTCGGATAAAAATCGAAGATCTCATTCCCTCTGAATTCTTGATGTTCCTTAAAAAGTGGAACTTAACCAGTAAGTTCCTTTCCTTTTTTTAGCACTTGGAATTTCTTTTGCTCTTTTCTCCTCATTTCCTGCTTCTACCATCGTGCAGCGGTTGCTCGAGCTCCCAACGCAGTTCCTCGCTTCAAAGAGTGGGTCGATGGGATCTACAAACAACTGTCGTACTCCTAGCGCGAATGGCATAACCTCTCAAAGGGCAAGTGGGAGGCCCGTTCCCATGGTAAGTGCGACCAATTCTATCTCATACTCAATCGTCATTTCCACTAACTTCTCTTTCTTTCATAGGTTTGCCCAAGACCACCAAGCTTCGGGCAATGGATAAGGACGAGGCTCCGTCCTCACTCGATAAACCCTCCGCTTTGGGACAGCCTACAGCTGCTGCACACGAGGAGAAAAAGAGAAAAAATAGGAAATTTTTGGGCTCCCCCGGACGCCAAAGCTAAGAAGAAGAGGGTTGCGGTCCGGGCCCGAAAGAGCAACAAGAAGAGTACCCGGGCCATGGTAGTGTGATCTGACTCCCTTTATCGGCTTAGGGATTACCCTGAAGATGATGAACTAGAGTTCGTCGCCCATGGGTCGACCATTGATGAAGAAGAACAGGCGGCAACCGGGGAAATGGCCGAGCAGCTAATCCCTCTTTAGCTCGGAAGCTAGAAGGAAAGAGGCTACAGTCTCCCGAGAAACTATCCCTGCCCCGAGGGAAGTTGCTGTGTCATTGACATCGCAGAATCGCCGTCCCATATAGAGTCCTTGTTCGACGAGGCTCAATCCGTCAACGAGAAGCCAAATGAGACAGCATGGGCCACAAATGAGTTCTTCAACATGTTCTTTGATGGCATGGACATGGGCGCGTTGGAGGATTACTCCGAGCTTGGTCACTTGGAGATCCCAAAAAAATATGTATCGTCAGGAGAAGGCGAGCCGAGCTCGATCCCGAAGCTAGTGAAGCGGTTCCCTGCTCCGAGAATGGCTCCCTAACTTAAAAGAACGGTCATTTTACTATCCTGGCGGATACTCGGGTGTTGTCCGCTCCGATGGGCGTGACCATCTATTTTTGCTGCCTCGTGACTGAAGAGGACCAGGCAAAGATAAACGAGGTGATGGGATCGAGTGTTTTCTCGTCTTACCGTAGTGCTCGGCTTGTCTTGATTTCCGATTGACGAACAAGAAGGAAAATGGAACAATTCTATTTTTGACTCGCCCACCGCACCGAGCCTCTTCAACGAGGCACAACATGAACTAAACCGGGTAAGTTTCCATTTACTTGTGCCCTTCACGCATCTTATTTAACTTTAATGTATCCTCATGATCCTATCGATTTGTTTTTCAACTTTAGTGCTCCACCATGAAAGCTTCCATCGTTCTCGAATGGAAGTCAGTCAGCTCGAGTTCGAGCTCAAGGAGCAAGTCTGGCAGAAGGACATGTACAGGGTTCTTAGCAAGCAAAAAGATGAGGCTCTCAAGGATCTCCCTATTCTTCAAGCTGAGTTGGAAAATCTCAAAAGGAGTCCT